CAGCTGGGGTGCGGGGGACGCCTCGGGGGTTGGGAGGGCCCAGAGCTGGGGAGGGGCCGGGAAAGCGCGGAGGAGGCCGGCCGGGTCCGGGTCCGGGTCCGGGTCCGGGTCCGGGTCCGGGTCGGGGACCGAGAGCCACGAGCCCCGAGTCGCGCAGGCGCCGCCAGCCAGCGCTGGTCCCCCGCCTCACCTGCATGTTGGGCACGAAGCCCTTCTTGATCCTCCAGCAGTTCTTATTGATCTTGTCCAAGAACTGCAGCTCATCATTGTAGCTGCGACTCATCGCGGCAACAACTGTGGCGACAACCCCCAGACAGCTCCGCTTTGAACAGCAACTGCCGCGCTGTCCGACTTCTCGCGGCGTCGCCGTCTAGGACTCAACGCGCAGGCGCGGCCGGCTGGCAGCAAGATGGGCAACGGGAAGCGCCAGGTTCCAAACTTTTCTCACACATCGCTTTTCTTCTTCGCGGTAGACTGCCCTCTAGTGTTCACCTTTTGGATCTCTGTTTGAGCAAGTCAAAAAATTCCTAGGACCTGAGTCAGATCCAGATGCTCTAGTGAATCTAACGGCTTGGAGTTTACACCCAGTAGTGATGACAAAAATGAATGCCTGTGGCTGAGACAGATAAATGCTTGAAAAAATACCTGGAAATTTGTCATGTTTTAAAATGAATCTGTGGCTATACCTTCAATAACTTTTCTGTTAGAAAAGAGCACCCTAAAGAATAAGACATGACAATTTGCCATCACTCCACAAATATTTATGATGGCCACATGTGCTGCAAAGAACAGTAAATCACAGTCCCTTTGGGTGGCCGGGGCTTCCCAGCTTCTTCTGATAAATAGGCCCTCGATGATCATGCATTTACACTCAGGGTCATTTGTTTGTCCTCGCAAGTGAGCTTGGAGTGATTTCAGTTTCTGGTTCTTACTCATTTAAAGAACAGTAGCTGGCATCAGCAGTTAGTGTAATGGCTATGTCGCTGGACTCCCATGTAGTCGACCGTGGTTTGCGTCCTGGACCCGGTGGCTTAAAACTCATGCTGGGCACATGTGCATGCGTGCCCAAGATCCCGAGAGGAGAATGGAGGAGAAGGGATTGCGGCGTGGCCATCCCCCCGGGGTGTGTGTGTGTGTGTGTGTGGGTGATTTCTCACTTTCTGTCTCTCTGTCTCTCTCTGTCTGTCTAGCGAGTGCACGCGCCCTATCGCAGAAACATCTCAAAAACAAACAAACAAACAAAAAACAGTAGCTTTGGAATCAAGTTTCATTCATGTACCACGTGTAGGTACTTCATCCCTTTTCATGGCCAACTAATATTCCATTGTAAAGATATGCCACAGTTTGTTTATCCATTTGTTTGTTGATGGACGTTTGGGCTATTTCCACCTTCAGACTATTGTGAATACTACCTCACGTACAAGTATTTGGATTTGACTTCCATCTGTGCTGTTTACTAGTGTTGTGAGCACTACCTCTTGACCTCTGTTCCCTCACCTCTAAATGGGATCATGATTCTGCATGGAATGGTCGTGAAGAACAAGGAGTAAGCAGCACAAGGCTTGCCCAGAGTAAGGACCGTGTAAACGGTTCTCTTCCATTCCGCCACTAGACTGTGAGCACTGCAAAAGCAGTTCACGGTTTCTCACCTTATCCCCCCGACCTCCTTTCTTCCTCTTCTGCCCTATTTCACCCTAACATTAATATCGTATCAACCATGAGTTCTGTACTCTCTACCGTCATTTCAGTGACTGTCGGGGGAAATATTCTCAAGTTAAAGGGATGACATAACTTCCCACTGTTTCTTACATGAAATACTGAAGAGGCAAGGACTGCCAGGGTTATCTGTGTGGTGGGCTGTGAGAGGCTTCAAAGACTCAGAGGTAAGCAGATAGAAAAGGGTTATTAACTTCCCAGAGGTGAAAGGGGGCCAGATTCAACTCAGCTCTGAAGGCTAGGGGCTTTAGGCTTTTAAAGGAAGGGGGTTTTAGGGTGGAGTAATTAAGGCGATCCTATGACAGGATGCTATGTGGCCTTTTAAAACATCTGGGCTGTTCCCTTATTATCTCTGTGTACAGCCATCTGCAAAAAAGTCAAGCAGCCCCCCTTTCTTTCCTCCTTTCAGGTAGAAATCTTCCTCTGATCCTAGGGAATTCGCTGGTGGGGCATATCTCCATCTATGAGGAAGGCTGGACCAGTTTGGTCCTTAGGCCTTCCTCCCTGCCTGCCCAGGACACCCTGCCTTCCCTCCAGTCCAGTTCAAGATAAGGGACAAGGAACCAGCAGAAGGCATAATGGTTACATTGCCGGACTCCCACATGGCTGACCCCAGTTGGAGCCCTAGACTCGGTGACTTCAAATTCACACCAGGTAGATGCGTGTGCATGCCCCAAATCCCAAGAGTAGAATGGAGAACAAAGGATCGCAGCATGGCCATCCCACTGTGTGTGTGTGTGTGTGTGTGTGATTGTGTGATTTCTTGCTTGCTGACTCTCTCTCTCTCTGTCCGGTGAGCACATGAGCCCTACAGCAAAAATCTCTCTTAAAAACAATAACAAGAAGAAGACAAGGGACAAATATCCAAGCGTTAATCTCTAAAAACGAAAGGAAAAAAAGGGACCAGTGGCTCACTTAATGGGTACGGGAAAAAAAGGGACCAGTGGCTCACTTAATGGTTACGTCACTGGACTCCTGTGTAGTTGACTGTGGTTCAAGCCCCGGACCTGGTGGCTTAAAACTCATGCCAGGTGTGTATGTGCGCCTGCGTGACCAAGATCCTGAGAGGAGGATGAAGGTGAAAGGATTGTGGCATGGCCATGGTGGGGGTGATTTCTTGCTTTCTGTCTGTCTCTCCAGAGAGCCCATGCACCCTATAGCAAAAATCTCTTTAAAAAAAAAAGAAAAAGAAGATGTTTGAGGCAACTACAAGGCATTGGCTGTGCCTTTCCCATTAAAATGCCTTAGGTACTTGGGAGATACTGAACATACGCTTTCAAGGAATTCTCTCTTTAAATTCCCTTTCTATTTTATTTATTTTTTTAAGATTTTTGTCATAGGGCGTGCACTTGCTGGAGAAAGACAGTGAGAGGGAAAGTGAGAAATCACCCTTCAGGAGGATGGCCACACTGCAACCCATTTTCCTCCACTCTCCTCCTGGGATTTTGGGCACACATGCACATGAACTGGGTGTGACTTTCAAGCTGCCAAATCTGGGACTCGAACCACGTTCAGCCATGTGACAGTCCAGCACCTTAACCACTACGCTAGCTGCTGGCCCCTAAATTCCATTTTTAAATAAAGCCTCGATGATTGTACAACCTCAGTGTTCATTAATGTTGAAGAAATTAATTCCCTCCTCTCTTTCCCCTCTTATTTTATTAAGAAAGAATTCAGGGCAGAACATTTCCCAAATTAAAAAAAAAAAGATTGACATTGATAGAAAACAATTTTAATTACACACAGCGGACAGTAACAGTGACTGTAAAATATAAAATCCAACACACAGGCAGGAGAAAACACCCCAGAGGCCTAAGGGCTCTCCACTCATAACAACCAGTACAGAAAGGGACTTGTGAGTTTCTTGCCCACCTGCTCAGAAATCCGTTCCTAGCTCTCGTCTTCAGACACATACACAGCACGCCGACACTCACCCCTCCACCCACACAGGCACAAGTAACCCTCTTCGGCCCGTTAGCCCAGGCTGGCTCATTCTAGGTCCCTGAAGAAAGACAACTTTCTGCATCAGCAATTCACAAGGACTGAAATCCCAGTGTGCAGGGTCTCTCCCTTTGCACGTACAGTGACGGTGGGGTGAAGGCCCATTTAGCAGTCAGGGGGCTGGCCTCCCCCTCCACTGTCCATTTAGCAGGTTCAGACCTTCCCACAGGTGGGCGCTCGGCTGCTGCGTTGAGGGCGTGTCATACTTCATGTCCGTGGAGATCAAAAGGAAGCCCTGACAAGAATGCAACAATGAGGTAATGCAGACTCGGCACTCCTGGGATTGCCAACAACGGACTGTCGTCTTGAATGAGAGACGGGCAGCTACTTTATTTATTTTAAAGGTTTTTGCCATAGGGTGCCATAGGGTACATGCACTTGCTGGAGAGGAGAGAGACAGAGAGAGATAGAGAGAGGGAGAGTGATAGGGCGGGGAAGGGACGAGGAAGGGGGTGGGGAGGGGAGAGCCCAGGGTAGTGTATAGGATTGGAGAATTCTTTCTGAAACTCATTTCCATCTCTCTGAACAACAGCAACAGCAAACCCCCCAAACAAACAAACAAGACAACACAAAAACCAAAAAGAAAGGAAAGTTGAAAAGAAAGAAAAAAGTTATTCTGAAGTGAGTTAATAATGATTGACCAGAAAACAGCTCTCAGCAAGTCCTGGAACCCAAGGAAGGACGTTAGTTTTGGGGCAAGTCCTAACAGGAAAAACTCCAAGAGCTGGTAGGATCCCACTGTGTCCTTTTCCAGCGACGCGAGTCATTTCTCCTCTCTGAGTCTCACTTTCCTCATCTGTAAAATGGGACTAACCATTTGTCTTAAATGAAAATGCATTAAAAGGCATCGTATTGTAATGTAGAGTGAATAAATTTGGCTGCAAAGTGAAATTGGACTTGGTCTGATTTTTTTAAAAAAATTATTCATTCACTTCTTTATTTTAATTTGATGAGAGAGAGAGAGAGAGAGAGAGAGAGGAAATGCAAGAAAGCAAGCCACCAGGTCTGGGGCTTACACTGTGGTCGGCCATGTGGGAGTGTCCAGGGCTTTAACCACCACACCACTTGCTGTTTCCAATGCCCAGAATTTTAAGTCCCGGGGTCCCAGACTCAAACCAGGTTGACTAAATGGGAATCCGGTGATGTAATCATTGTGCCATAGGCTGTCCCCAGGTTTGGGATTCTTTTTTTTTTTTTTTTCTTTTTTTTTTTAAGAATTATTTTATTTAACTTATTTATTTATTTATTTATTTATTTATTTAAATGTAACCAAAGAGGGACAGAGAGAGAGAGAGAGAAGGTGAGAAAGTAAGCTGCCAGGTCTGGGACTCAAACAGGTGGTCAGCCAAGTGGGAGTCCAGCACCCTTAACCACCACACCACCTGCCAGCACTAATTCTTTTTTTTTTTAATTTTAATTTTGCCAGAAGGCCCATGTGGTTTTAGAAAAGAAACAGAGAGGACAAGTGAGAAAGCTTCCCCCATGGGGAATGGTCACACTGCAATCTCTTCTCCATTTCTCTCTCCTTTTGGGATTTTGGGTGCACATGTACATGCATTTAGTATGTTTCTCAAACTACCACATCCAGGACTCAAACTAGGCTTTTGGCTATGTGGGATCCACCTGCCTTAACCACCATACCACAGAGTGGCTCACTGGTATGACTTTTAAACTCAAGTTTAAATGCTTTTCACTGTTAATTGCAAGGTTTAAGAGCTAATCATTATTTATACATTTCCTTGTGTTGAGAAGAAAAGCAGAACAAAATAAAACAAAAAAAAAGCAAAACAAAAGGAGGCTTATTCTATAATACAATGAAAAAAAATGGGCCAGTTAAGAGGAGCTTCTCATTCTTACCTCAAGGACTTCAATATCTGAATTGACAAATGATATTTTGTGTGGGTTGGGCAGAGGAAATCCTTGCTGCAATTTTGCTAAAATATAGAGCAAGACAAAAAATAATTAGACATGGGCGTAAAAGTTTTGAAGAACTTTTTGGTAAGAGACTAACAGGGAGCTTTTTAATTATTTATATTTTCATTCTTCCTGGTTCCATGGTTTCATTTTCTCGAATATGTCCTTGGCATTTTCCTGAAAGAATTGTTCATTCATGTTTAATACAAATAAACCTGCCATTACATGCATTTGGTCAGCAGAAAAATACTGCGCATTTTTAACTTGCCCAATTATATATGTATTTTTTTTTTTTGAGATTTTCACTGTAGGGCGCGTGCACTCGCCAGACAGACAGAGAGAGACATAAAGACAGAAAGCGAGAAATCACCCCCCAGGGGGGATGGTCACGCCGCAATCCCTTCTCCTCCATTCTCCTCTCGGGATCTTGGGCACGCACACACACGCGCCTGGCGTGAGTTTTTAAGCCACCGGGTCTGGGACGCGAACTACGGTCGACTACGTGGGAGTCCAGCGACATAGCCATTACGCTAACTGCTGGTTCCCAAACTTGCCCAATTATATTTTTGAAAATACCTAATTAGTGGATCTTGAGAATATTTTGGTGTCTAATATAAAAACATTTAAACTGAGTCAAACTCTGGATTCTGCAGTTTTTTTTTTTTTTTTTTAAACAATTGTAGTGTGAGAGAAGGCCTAGGATCAGTCATCAAAGCTAAATCTATCAGATAGTGGTTCTTGCATAAAAACCACAGAGATACTTCCATAGTGAATAATCTTATTGCCAGCTGTCCCAAAGGAGACTCAACCAGAGTTAGCCATTCTCACTTAGTTTACAAATCGAGTTGCTAAAGAGACTCAGACCTAGAATAACTAATTTTGCAACCATATCATGGATGGTACAAACTTTGCAAATTTTTGTTCTGGCCTAAATTCCTAATAACACTGTAGAAGTGCAGGCTGTGGGACAAAAGGTCCCAAACAATTCCCAAAGTTTAGTTAATATCAGAGTCACATCATTTCTTAAGACTCTCTTACCATTGGCCAGTGGGAGGACACCAAAGTGAAGAATGGATGACAGAATATTCTCAAACCTCAAGACCTACAATGACAGAAGAAATGGAATTCAATATCAAATCAGGGCATTTGAAAGTCCCATGCCTGGTTTGGGAGTACGCAGAATTTACGGGATAGAAACAGTAACTAGAGGCACCAGCAGTTAGCGTGATGGCTATGCCACTGAACTCCCATGTAGTCAACCACGGTTCGAGTCCCGGACCCAGTGGCTTAAACTCACATCAGGCGCGTGTGCGTGCGTGCCCAAGAGCCCGAGAGGAGAATGGAGGAGAAAGGATTGTGGCTTGGCCATCCCCCCTGGGGGGTGATTTCTCGCTTCCTATCTCTCTGTCTCTCTCTGTCTTTCTGGTGAGTGCATGCACTCCATAGTAAAAACCTCTAAAAAAAAAAAATAAGAAAGAAAGCCACCAGGTTCGGGACTCGAACCATGGTTGGCCACGTGGGAGTCCAGCATTATGTAACTTTAATTACAGTGTATTATTATAATGGTTCTATTTTATTATTACTTATTGTTATTTTTTACTGTGCCTTACTTATAAATTAGACTTCTTCGTAGGTGTGCATGTATAGGAAAAACACAGTTTATGTAGGATTTGGTATTATTTTCAAGCATCCAGGTCTTAGAATGTGTCCCTTGTGGATAAGGGGGGACCCCTGTACTAGGTTTCCCAGTTAGCTCTGTTCCCTTTAGTTACTGGGAACCTTAGCCACGGTTCCTTTGCATTACATTACGCTGTGAAGGTAATGGCATCACCAGAACACCCAATATATCTTTAATGGATTATGTCAGTTGTAGAATGTAGACAAAGTGCTGGAACCTAGAAAGATATCAGGTATTAAAAATAAAATAATTAGGGGCCAGCTTGTGGCGTGGTGGTTAAGGCACTAGACTGTCACATGGTCAACCATGGTTTGAGTCCCTGACCCAGTGGCTTAAAACCCATGCTGGGCAAATGTGTGTGTGAGACCGAAATCCTAAGAGGAGAATGGAGAAGAGGGCCTTGCTGTGTGGCTATCCCTGCTGGGGCGAACGTTCACTCTCCTGTCCTTGTCTCTCTGTCTCTCTCCAGCAAGCGTAAGTGCCCGATGGCAAGTATCTGAAGTAAAATAAAATATAATAAAATAAAAAGCCCACAAAGAACATCAATTCGTTCAATGAGTACTTTTTGAGCATCCTATATACTTAGCGATACTAAGAACCTCTTTGCAATAAAGCAAGGGTGTTTCCGAAGAGAGACCTCCTAGGATTAACTCCTGTTTTTCCATTCACTAACCTTGTGATGTTGGGAAGGTCACTTAATTTCTCTGTGTCTTAATTTCTTTCTTTCTTTTTTTGGAGAGGTTTTTGTTATAGGGCACGTGCACTCGCCAGAAAGATAGAGAGAAACAGAGAGACAGAAAGCGAGAAATCACTCACCTGGCGGATGGCCACGCCGCAATCCCTTCTCATCCATTCTCCTCTCGGGATCTTGGGCATGCACGCACATGTGCCTGGTGTGAGTTTAAGCCACCAGGTCTGGGATTCGAACTGCGGTTGACTACATGGGAATCCAGCGACATGGCCATTACACTAACTGCTGGTCCCCTGTGCGAAAATTTCTTCAGCCATAAAATTAAGGTAGTAGTACTAGTCTCCTGGGATTGTGTCAGCATTAAACAAGTTAATATTAGTAAAATTTTTGGCATGCGCCATTGTCATGTTTTCAGAAATGCCATGGTTCACACCTTCTGTTGATACCAAACAGTTTCCTGGAGTCTTCTGGAAAACTTGATGCATTTGGGCCTCTCTCTGGACTCAGGAAATACTCTTTATGAGGAAGTCAGCTGTGGGACCAGCAATGGCATAATGGTCATGTCGCTGGACTTTCACGTAGTCAACTGCAGTTGGAGTCCCAGACCTGGTGGCTTAAACTCATGCTGGGCGCGTGTGCATGTGTGCCCAAGATCCCGAGAGGAGAATGGACGAGAAGGGATTCTGGTGTGGCCATCTCCCCTGGGGGGGATTTCTTGCTTTCTGTCTCTCTGTCTCTTCAGGGAGCACATGTGCCCTATAGCAAAAATCCCTTTAAAAAAGAAAACAGAGTATAGAAAGCCAGCTGTACATCTTCACTGACTGTAATATATCATCTGCTAAAATCCTGTGCCCTGTGGGTGCTAACCGCCAGGGCCTAGGACAACACTATTGAGTTGTTGGAAAAGTTGTGACATATTTTTGCATAGAAAAACATAGAAAAATACATCCTGACTTTCCTGACAACCTGATATTTTATTATTTATTTATTTATCTATTGATCTATTGTGCTGTTTTTCAAGCTGGTGGGTTCAGGACTCCAACCATGGCCAGCTATGTGGGAATCCAATGCCTTAACCACCATGCCACCTGTTAGCTCCTGGACAATACTATTTTAGACCTCAATGCCTGGCATGAAAAGTATGCCTTATTTTCAGTTTGACACTCTGCTCCTGGCTCCTAATCTTCCCAAACTGGAAACCAGCATGCACTTCTAAAATTGAACAGCTAGACATACATCTTGTTTGGCCTCCTGGCTAAATTCTCTGACTTCTTGGCAACTTTTTCCAGATCTAATCTAATCATATAGCAGTTTCTGTTAAACATGCTGATAATTGGGACCAGCAGATGGTAATGGTAATGTGTAATGGTTATGTCACTGAACTCTCATATGGCTGACTACGGTTTGAGTCCCATACTTGGAAACTTGAAACTCATGCCAAGTGTGTGTGTGTGTGTGTGTGTGTGTATGTGTGCCCAAAATCCTGAAAAAAGATTGGAAAAGAAGGGATTGTGATGTGGCCATCCCTCCGGGGGGTGATTTCTCACTTTCTGTCTCTCCATCTTTCTTTGTCTCTCTGGTGAGCACACACACCCTATAGCAAAAATTTCTCTAAAAAAAATCCACAACAAAAAACATGCTAATAATTAAATTCAGTACTTACTCTGTCCCTGGTGCTGCCTTGTGAAAGGTTAAGTGTCTGAGGCTGCACAGCCAGGAAATGCGAGTTTGCTCTGGCAGTGTGGTCTCAAGAGTTTGCATATGAAACTACTACACTGAACCATCTCTTGATGTAAAGATGATAATTACTGAAGTAATTCTTATACATAAACAAGCAAAGGCCATCCTTTATTTAATATCTTCTACATAATCAATGTGCTAAGTGAATTTCATATACAATCTCAGCCTACCCTTTTAACAACCCCATGGTTGTACCCTCCAGCTCCATACCTATGCCAACGGCCTATTCTGATTTATTTTTCTCTATAGAACTTTTACTTTTTGTTTTAAGTTTATTTTATTTCTTTCATGAGAGAGCAGACACACACATGCACATTTAAGAGACAAAGAGAAAGAGAGACTCTCAGCAGGGTGTCATCACGCTGCGATCCCTTTTCCCAGCCCTCTGCCAGTCAGGATGTAGGGCAGTGTGCCGGGTGTGTTTCAGGTTGGCTTGGGATCCGAACTCACAGCCAGCCATGTGCCTTCCAGCGCTGAAGTGCAGTACACTTCCACTGTAGGCACCACGAAGGCTGGGCCTACAGTATTTTTTAGTGCATACAACACGTATTTGTTTGTCTGCCCTCCTTACCGTGACATGCACGTATTCGCTCACTCACACACACCCCCGAACAGGGTTTCCTGATAGTGGTGCTGTTGACATTAGGGGATGGATAATTCCTTGCTGTAAGCTGTCTTGGGCACTCTGAGAAGTTTAGCAGTGTCCCTGGCTTCTATTTCCTTGATGCCCACAGCATCCCTGTTCCCACCCCAGGTCTTGGGCATTGCCAAACGTCCCTGGGGAGCTAAGTTGACCCAGCTGAGAAGCGCTGCTCCAGACTGAGTGCCATGAGGGCAGCAACTTCCTCAGCTTTGTCCAGAACAGTGCCAAGCTCAATCAGTTGTTGTGAATGAGTGGATAATAATAATGCTAATAGCTAACATTTGTGTAGGGCTGACCATGAACTAGACACCATTGCGTCCTGAACGTCTCTCTGAGTGTCGTCAATGAATGAATGGGGGTAGAGACTTGGCTGATCTTTCTGAACGCTGGGGGAAGGGAGTTTCCAAGTTGCTTGTTGAGGTATCTTCTTCCAGATACAGCTCACCAAGTTGGGTTCCCTCCCCCCTCCAAAGGTATCTAGACAACTAACCTAATTTTAGGAGGTGGGAAGAAAGTCTTTGAAGAGCAAACCTGGTCATGGCCCAATAGTTTACATATAGCCTCCTCCTTTGAGATTCTAGACTGTAAGTTTAAATCTGGATGATTCTTTTGTCTAGAAAACAAACCCTATCCTCTAAGAATGCCTATTTTGTCCAGCATTACACAATGTCTTATAAGTCTTTAGAGTTCTTTTAAAAGTCTTCCTTCTTGAGTGAAAGTAAATTGGAGAGTTCTCTCTTATAGTTAATGGGTTCCATAGGTGAGGAGCTACAGAAGGAATTTCAAAGTTAAAACCTAAAGTCACAGAGAAATCAATTATCAGAGGGACAGAAACGATCATTCTTCTACTATATGGAAGGTTTCCTTCTTCCCTTGCCAGGGAACCCTGAGGACTCTGACTCCTACCTCGATATTGCTGCGGTTGGGCTCTGGCAGAGAGAGGCGGAATCTGCAAGGAAATGGGAAAAGGTTAAAGGAGGGGTGGACTTATGAACAGCAGCCTTGATAGAAAGAGACAGAAAAGGGGATTTTCTTTTTAGCTCAAAGAGTCACCAACACACACACACACACACACACACACACACACACACACACGCGCGCGCGCGCGCGCACGGTCATAGAGTTTGATTATCCTTTTATCTTTATATTTTGCTGCTTAAGAAGCAGAAGCCTGGGCCAGCAGGTGGCATAGTGGTTAAGATGCTGGACTCTCAGATGGCTGACTGAGGTTTGAATCCCAGACCTGGTAGCTTGCTTTCTCACTT